ATTCCATAGCAAGACCAAGGTGAAAAAGGAAAGAGAAAACCCTAGACCCACAGCCACTACACTTAAGGAGCATGCTTGAATCACAGTGGGATTTTGGCCATTGGTCAACTGTATGAGATAGGCTACCGATTTTGTTTTTCAGGTGTTAAGTCCTTGTGAGTATTCCTCCGGAATTGTGGAAAGTACGAAGCCTCACGGTGGGACTCACTTTGAGTATTAGCGACCAAGGGCATGATCCTCGAGAGAAATCTACTCAATGTAAAACCCATAAGCAATGCAATTGTAACAAGATCCCACCGAGCCTCATATTCTTCTAGAAACCATGTGAAGGTATACCTTTCTCGGCCTTTTGGCTAAGATCAAGTGTAGTATCTGTTCTTATCAGTTTAATATCTGATACGAGGGTCATCGACCCTCACGATATTAATCTTATTTCTTTCAGGGTGCAGGTCCAATTCGTCAGCTTGCTGTCGAGGATCTGCCAGTGTCGCCTTGGTATTGCACTACCTCCGGGGCAGGCGCAGCCCATCCTCCCACTCGGGAGACCAACGAAATCAAAGTAGGATTTTCAGAAAGGACGAACATTTCGCAACGCCCTCGATACTCGCTATGCCCAGGGTTGCACACATATGACTGCCAAGAGCGCAATCCGATAACGGAGTTCACAAACTACTTGTGAACATACCAATGGGAAATTCATCCCCGATGATGATTCAGCAATCTCGTCATTTTGGCATGATGAGATCCTCAATGGTTTGTGCAGGAAGTTCTGGCACCAGAGAGTAAAACGGTCAAACACAATACACCAGATATCCGGATGCTTTAAACGAGATAAACCGGTCGACAAGAAGGGAAGTTTATTTTGACGAGTGTGAACGGAAGGCCCCACATGAAGGCCTCGTTTGCGATTAGTGCCAAATTGGGGGTGGAATACTACTCATGTAATTTGCCTACGTTTCCAAAACCTTGTGCCGTCCGAACACCAGAGTTGGGCTCCAATCTAGTTCAGCGTTTCTCCTGTATTATTGTCCTGTCTGACAAGGACTGAGGATTAAACCGATAAGGGAAAAGTAAATGACATGGTTTGAGAATTTTCCTAAACTCACAATGAACCGTGCACCAGCCAGGGCACTGGCGAATTACTCACCCGCCATCTACGTTTTCTTATGGTGGAATCTTTCTTTGCGAATTCCAGTAATTTACACTCGATTTAGAAGGGTTGTTCAGGTTGACTTTGCTGTTGACAGTGCTTCAGAATCAAAGAATCATCCACAAGTTGCTCGTGCCTGATGTTCATAATTATCTTGCCTACAAGTTTCTGCTGATTAAAAGTTTCTCATGAAGTGCTGCGCTGGATGCTTGTCTCCTAGACCAGGGTCATGGGATCCTTTAGCTCTTCAATATCACACAATAGAGGAGAAAGACGAGATTGCTGAGCATACTTCTTTCGGATTCTGCAGTCATGTGGCCATTCCTGCCTGTTATTTAACAATCACGTTCAGAACCTTATCCTTTGCCACATGGTCACACCAGCTATCTATGAGCAATTGTAACTTCCATTCTCCTCAGTCCCACGGGAATGTTCTGTCTCCGTGAACCTGAAATTTATGTACTTCCTCTCACAATCTAAACTCCACTTGAAACCATCATGCTAGTTAGCATGGATCTCAAAACGCGTATTCGTGTTATACCTGCTCGCAAGCATCGGATCGTTTTTTCTCGTTACTTCACAATTCCAAAAGGGACTTCGGAAAGATGAAATCCCAGACCTTCCAATGTTGGAATCAAGTCCCTTCTCCAGTGGTGTGAGCACTTGTGTTTGCTTCGCTTCTCTCGTTGGCTCAGTGGAAGAGGCAAAAAGTTGCACCAGAAGACTTGTTATAAACTCTTTGAGAGCGCGAGTTGAGAACATTGTTTACTGAACAAGTTTGAGCATTTTGCAAGGAGTTGTTTTGGAGTGGTTGTGAGGAAAGCAGTAACTTTCCTACACGTCAGGCTCCAGTGACTTCGTTATCTTTGACTGGAAATTTCACTGTGATAGGGAACATGTGCTACGAACGTATTTTGAAGACTCCTGGAGCCATGAGAAAAGCTCAGCTGGAATAGATGCCGAGGTGGAGGAGGAGGATCTGATTCATGTGCATTACTTACGGTCATCGATCGAGGACTCTTTTCATCTGCACCCAATGCTTCCTTGCAACTGTCTCGCGAGGGAATCCGGGCCAAGCAAACGGTTTTTCTGGTGAGAAAGCAACGATCTGATCATTTATAAACACTCATGCTGTAAGAAGAGATCCCCAAATCTGCAAAGATCCAGTAGAGTGTAATCCTCACCTCGAATCGATCCGTCGATGTGGGAGAGCAGAGTCTTGAGCTCCGGCCTGTCGGATCCAATCGAAGATTGTGTACGGATTTGGGCCTGGCCTTGCTGATGGTGGAACTCACTCTGGCTGCGTGGAATCATAGCTCAGATTTGTCACTTCCCGCTGGCATAAACCCACCGACATCCATGTGGATGTGATATTTGGTGTTACGTGTGCCATGAAAGTACATGTGCAACCAAGACTACGCCCTCAAGCGTATGCAGTCGACTGACAGGTATCCATGGGAAGACTAATATCATAGCATAAATCAGGGGAAGACCCCATCGAGTCCTATATGGATGAGACCAAAACTCGGTGCCCCTAAGTGTGAAACAAAACGATCTAGAGCCACAGATGAAACACTTTCATATCCAGATCAAAACCTCAATCTGCAAAAATTTCTACTTCCTTGCCCTCGCATGTACACGGGCCAGAGTTCATTGAGCAAGACAAAAGCTGTGAGTAGAAAAGAGATTCTCAACATAAAATAATGCAAAGTCGGCAAAACCAATGCAATGAATATAAGTATTGACTGGTTTACATGCTAGTAAGACGAGCAGTCCCGTGGAATGGACCGTACCTTCATAAGTGGACATGCCTTCGCATGTCCAACTCTCATCTCAGTCTTCCAAACCCCTTACAAATTCAAGCATATGATTATGCTTGAATTTGCTGCATATCCAAAGGCTTGCTACTGCCCCCCTCTCAGGATAGACAAACATCAGTGGGAAGGATATCCTCATCATGAGCTCTGGAATTCAATCATTCTTGCAGGACTTTATGATTGGACATGGATTGGCCCCATGAGTTGAGCCCCGTGCAGGATTGTAATGAACACTGTGCAAACTCGAATTCGAGTTAATGAACCTTTGTTTTCAATATCGAGGAAGATTTGAACTAACTATTGTTTCTTAGTGTAAACTTCTGTGAGTGCGTCTCACGTGTATGTGTACTGAATACATGAGGTCAAAAGTATCGAAAATGTTTCTAATCTGAGCTGAGTTTTAATGCAGTTTTATTCATTTTAGACTTCTTGTGCGCATTCTCACCACCTTCACATATATTTTGTAATGTCGCGTTGACCATGAGGGAATCTCTTTGTCGTCGATGTATATGATATGTGGTGTGTACAAAGGCTTTTGAGAAAATGTTTGTCCTTTCGAGCGTGACCTCCAACTGAACATTGGATGCCAAAATGTTTCTTGAGAAGAGAAACGTCAAGTAGCGATCGTCTTCAGTCCACAGACTACAGTTGGCAAGAGGGAATATCTCGAGGAATTACTCTGGCCTGGTGGGCCCTTGAGCTCCTACGGAGTGTAGGTACAGTCCTGCATCGGGGGAGGAGCGTGGCACGTTCTGTGGAAGGTAGTTGGAACCTTTCACATTGAGGCTCAGAGAAACTTGCCACTGTGGGAGCTTGGTAGCCTCTCATGGCACCCTCGCTCTCGAAACTGTGCATTTGGCAGTAGTCGGGCCCGGCCTCGTGTGTACACCTTCCCCTCCTGGATGGACCCACCTCACCGATATGGAAAAAAATACGATACGGAATTCAATCTCAAAAAATTCATTGCAAACAATTCGCAAGTTCTCGAATGATACTTCTGAACGAAGATTTCAATGCAAGAATTTGTCGAACATGGGCAGACAGTTTACATCAGTCTCCCTGCTATGAGTTCTAGGGTTGGACGTTTCTATTGACCAGTGTTATCATCAATACCAACACCACCAGACAATCGTAGCCCTCGTCACCATGCAACCACATGGTTGAATCACAAAGGGTCAACACGTTTGAACAACCTCTCGATTCAGCCAAAAGTGAAAGACCAGATGTCAACCAGTATGTTTGAAATCCAATATTCAATTACTTCAGGCACGTTCATGCAGCAGGCTACGCGGCGTGGGACCCATTTATACATACACTATACATACACATAGATTCACTTCTTCAGATTGATCTCCCTTCGAACTTCTTTCATTATATCCTCCAGCATATATTAGTCAGTGGACATTCACTATTTAAGGTGTTAGACTCTAAGCAAACAAAGTCCGAACATTCCTCAAAACATTAAATCTGACCGCACGTCACAAGCAAGGAAGGGGTTGCCTCGAGAATCGACAACTATATGAGCCAGTTGTATCTTCTCTATTCGCGGAATGAGAAGTGTGCCTCTGAAAAGGTATACTAACTGACAAAAGAGATGTTTGATAATAAGACATTTAAGACGTCATTACGTACTGGCGGCTTACTGGTGCAGGCTATTGTTTTCTGTCGTCACGACGGACTCGCATCCGCAACGATTGGCTTAGAACAATTAGCGTGTGATATCTGAACTCAGGGCAGTTTCTCGTCCCAGCTCCCATGGGCAAAGGGAGTCATTTGCACAATATATAAACAAAAGTAAAATTTCGATAAATCACGCATTCATTAGCTGGTGGAAATTCATTGAGATTTCAGAGTTAAGAAAACAAGCCAAATCTGCACAGATAACCGAGCGAAACCATACAATCTCAACATCGGAATGATCAATTTTTCTCCAACGACCAGGACTGATGGCATACCGAGGGAAATATAGTCACACGTGTGTATTATTACTTTGAGTCACCACAATCAAGAACAGACCAGAAGTGTAACAATAAAGACTCCGAAATGTTTAGGTAGTGAATTCTTCGAAAATTACAAAGTGCCAATTTGCACAATGTCAATGTCTTCCACAGTAAATCTGGAATCTTCCAGGTTGGCGGGTTTAGTACTCTGAATGTATGATACTCAGTTACCCAATCTACAGTTCATAACTCCTAAACAGAAGGTCCCACGTGCTGCTAAAATTTATTCCTGAGCAATTGACTGGTGCCAGCGAATTGGAAACCAAATCCTGTTTTTTTTAGGATAAAATCCATCCTCTACTCCTATCCTTGGCTATGATAATAATCCTCAAAGCGACTTGCAGCTCTTTCCGCATTGACGACAGATTTTTATCTGCGTTGTAGACAATGACTGGCAATTCTCCCATCTCAAGTCCTAATGCTGTTCAATTCAACAGCGAGGACTTACACAGCTACTGAGTAAATAATATACCTCTACTTTTCCATGATTCAATCATTTCATTTCAGTAAGTGAATGAAATGTTTGTACTGCTACAAAAAAAAAACATTTCGTTTGTACAACCTTCAATCGCTTGATTGCAGGAAAAAGACATGTCAAGTGAAGGTCCGCTCCGTGATCTAAATGTTGTCCTCCGCATTCACCTGATCGTCGATTGCAAAAAGAAGCCGTCTGAAATTGACCTTACCACACATCCCTTTGATACCTTCCGTCCAGTTGCATCTGCTTCACTATGGCCTCTGCTTTAGAGCTTTCGACGGATTCCTGCGCGTACACAAAACATAGAAATATATCAATATTCCCTCGGACAGAATCGCTGCAAAAGCATTATCTTGCGCATAACACGCTCATGGTTTCATGCGATCACTAAAAAGACATACCTGCTCCTGAATAATAGTGTGCAGAGTTCGATGCACGTCCCTGGCCATTCCCTTCGCATCTCCACATACGTACATATATCCTCCATTCTTGAGATGACTCCATACTGAACTCGCCTGAAATTTCGTGTGACTACCAGTGTGAGTACTTTCGATACGAGACCAGACCGCTACTGTTAATAAGGGCAACGTTAATGGGACAGAAGTATATACCAAATGTCCTTTTCCTGGCCTCCATATCGCACTCACATGAAAAAAATACTAATACTCCGAGTGAATTTTTCGGAACAGAAATTGACGAAAACGCGTCGGACATGACCAAAATCTGAGCATAATGCGAACAGCGGGGAGGGCCCATACCTGCTGCGTTAACTTGTGCTGGACATACTCCTTGACGTCTCCTTCCCGAGAGAAGGCAACGATCAACTCAGATAGAGCACCTTTCTTGACGAATTCGGCAAGTTCTTCCTCGTAAATGTAGTCCTGATATGATATAATCCGTAAGAATAGACCACACATATATGAAGGAAAAAATTTAATAGTCATACAATGAAGAGAGAGCTCGTGAATATTTACCTGCTTCCTCGTACGACATCCAAAGAAGAATACTGCTGGACCAAGCTTTTCACCCTCATCGATCATTGCAGCTCTTTCCTGCAATAAGAATCACCGGTGAACGAATCAGTTTTGAGCTTGTAAGGACATGAGAACTACGGCAAGAAATAATGTTACGTTTGCCTAGCACTCAAACCTAAGCAGTGTACATAGTAAAACGTACCTGTAGGAATCCTCGGAAAGGGGCCAACCCAGTACCCGGTCCAACCATGACGACTGGGGTTAGGGGATCAGTAGGGAGTCTAAAGTTGGAAGTTCGCACAAAGATCGGTGATGCCGTGGCTTTAGCTGGGTTCTCTTCGGCTGATATAGCATTCTGTTCCATGTAGGTTCCAAAACTTCAGTAAGTAGGCAGAAAACATCTCGACGTACAAAGGAATCAAGTAGAGCGATTCCGCACGTAATCAAGCAGAACCAACAACATATCCTTTGTTGGCCATCATTCTCGCACTAACCTGCGCGATGTGTAGCATGATCCTACCTACCTTCATTCATTTAGATAACCTAGTACATGATAAAGCGAACGGCTTTCAGCGAGCAAGGGGACCAAAGCATCTCAAACCTAGGTCATACATCTCAGGGGTGCCAACGAGTTTTACTGAAAATACCTTCATCCAAGTGGAGCACACTCCACGATACACGCGACCAGATGCACTAGCTCCAACAACTAAGGCGCAAGTGACATGTATCCTCTTGGGGGCAAACCTGCAAAAATTCAAAAACAGTAAAAAATAGTGGCCACTTAATTCATCAACAAAGCGGATCGTGTCCCTTTCTTTCTCCTGAATTTCGATGGTTCCGGCACGGTGAAAATGGATACTCACTTTGGAGATGAAGAGATTGAGTAGAATCTTGGCTGCAAACGAGGCGACACTGCTGCAAAGAACACGCCCAAGGGCACCTTCACGGAAGGAAAGTCGGACATCACTTCCAGCAATGTCCTCTGATCCTTCACGATGTACTGATTGTAATCTTCCTGGTAAGAAGAAAAAAACAATGTTAGAACTTGATGAGGAATATCTGAGGCAAACAACCATATAAACATCCATTTCCATCCAGTTCGAGGTGTTCGTACCTTTCCAATTAGAGATGCTAGGAATTTCAAGCGATCCTTCTCAGTTGGATCCGTCGCGTAGGCTGCCAAAGTTGTGAGGGTAACCTGACAGAAAGAAGAAGAAAAAAACAGGACGCACAAGTGTAAGCAAGAGGAAGGAATCAATTAATGACTCTACTCAGTAGCACTTGTGCCTTGTAGTGCCTCAAGACTGTAAACCCAAGGCTCTGCTAGACAGGTGCTAGTGATAACAGACTGGGAATTGGAAATAAGATGGGCCTTAGAGTGATGAGGATACAGAACTGTTTGGACAGAGAGGGTATCTATGATATCAGGAATGTGTCCATGTACGAAGGTCGTTCGGAATTTTCAGGGGTAACCAAGAAACCCATCAGTATATCCACCTGAGTCTTCGGAACAAATTGTTTTAAATCCTCATTATTCAGTCATCTAACCGACCGTGTCCAATAGAAGTTAGCAAGAAGTCGAGATCTAATGGACTTCATTGAAGCGAAATCTTCTTGTATAAGAACCAAAATTGCTCTTGGTATCCAAGGTCAAGAGGTGCAATTAAGTAGCGAGCGAAGAGGATCGATGTGCTTTGCTCTAGGAATATAGGACTGTCTGCTACGGAAAGATAAAACAACGCTCGTGTACTCATAGGTGTGTCTAGAGCAATCAAACAACATGACATACCTTCTTCGGTGGACTCAACAAGTCTGCGTAGCGAGTCAAGGCCGTTTCCAGAGTGATAGGTCCAGGAAACGGAGCAGGAAGAGAAGCACTTCCTCCGGTTAAGGCATCACCCATCTTATCATCAGTGTGAAGGGAGAAAACAAGATCCAGCGGATGCCCTAAAAGTCTGGCGGCTTCTTCGACGTATTCACTGTAATTCTCTGCGTACACACCAACGTGATCTCCCGCCTCGTATCTGACACAATAAAAGTTTCAGATAGATTAATAAGAATTCGTTCGCAGATCGTACAACCTTCAGCGGAGGTGCATCATGCAAACACTGGAGTCATCAAAGCTCACCTTAATCCAGTATTGGCAATGTCGAACTCGAGATGGGTGCAAGACCGATCAGATAGTGGAGTGTGGAGCTCTCTACGGACAGCGACAACCGACCTTCACAACATTCACGGTGAATCAGTAAATAGGACTGACTCTGAAACAACTTAGAATGATGTAAAATTTGCAAGCTGAAAGATATTATTATGGAAACTTACTTGCAGGGATGCTGAGCATCATAAGTGGCCTGGCCATTCATCTTCGCATCGTATGTTTCTTCATGCAGCTTAGAGTCGGAATCATGAATCTCCACACGATACTCAGGGATAGCCGCTGTGTATACGGCTCCAGGTGTCGAGGGCACGTCTTCGTCAAGCAGCTTCAGGTCCAAAATTGGCCAAAGCCCTTCCCTCCTGCACACCCACACCAGAATCAGCAGGATGAAATTTTAAGAACACAATTAGCTTACGGCTTTAACGGCAGTAAGTATTTAGTGAATAACTGGTATCATTACCAGGCAGTAAAATCATCTTCAATACACTTATCATCGTCGCCGAGTCCGACATCAACGAGACGTACGGCACCTGAACAGAGGTTTGTACATCACACAAATTGTGAGAGTTCTTTCGTCGCAGCCTTCTCAAAGTACATGACTTTACACAAAGAACGAAAAGCACGCCAGTCGAAAGACAAAGTTCACATAATTCTCACTTACCATAATGGGCCAACTTCCCATCGACCACTTTCGCTACCTGCAGAGAGTGAGAAAGATGCAACTCCTTAGTAGTGAACCCAAACTATTTTGTGCGTGTAAGAACAAATTTCAAAACTAATTTATCCTGAAAGAGAGTTGTGTTCAGAACAGGAGACTGCTACGATCGATGTACGATCGATGGTGACTGCTACGCGATCCGAGGTGTAGATTCTATGTGAATTGACAATACATGAACGAATGCTCATGGAGGAAACCACTGAAGCTAATGTCGCTTGCGCCAAAGATTACCTTGTTGAAATGTTCGTATTGGACGTTGCCAAGACCAAAAACAGCGTATTCCATGTGAGAGAGCCAGGGCCCCTTCTCTTCACCCTCGCTCTGAAACACCAATACACACTTCAGTTAGCATACATGATAGGAATCTTTGAAACTACAACTCATACCACCGAGGTGCATAGCAAATCGAGAGAAAGAAATAAAGAACTACCTCAAGAGTTTCTGTAAACCATTTGAAGAAGCGAGCAGCGTTATCCGTGGGTTCACCATCTCCGTATCTGGGAGAGAAACGGTAGCGGGCGTATTAGAACTCTAACATGCCCGACAGAAACTGCAAGGATCGTTGTGTTGTTTTCAGATCGCCTAAATTATCCACGTACGTACTGCAAACTGAAACTGTAACATACCGATGGAACCTCATATCACAACTAAACACTTTCAACGGTTCCGTGTGGGGACTCACGTCGCGACGCAGAAGATTGCGAGTTTTTCTTTCTTCAATTTTTCTTCGTATATTTCGTCCTCTGCAGCATAGTCATCCTGATTGCGACACAAAGCCGAGCTGTTGTTTATGAGTAAATTTGGCTTCAATCCATTAGTTTGACGCACCGTGACGAAGTATCAGTTAAAATATTCCAATCTCTCTTCTAAACAGAAGAGAGACTGCACTGCAGGCTTGTCATGCATAGTCGTACGACCGTGTCTTCTACCATTCATGAGTATTGCACATCGGCTCCCCGACATTAAGAGCCGATACAAAATAGAAGTGAATGGACGCTGAGCGTGGTAGCATGCCAGATATCCGTACCAAGTCCACCAATTTGAAGTTCACTTTGCCATCATACCTAGCCTTCCCTTCTTCCGCGAAAGCCTGCAGAACAGCTCAGAGGTTAATTCCTGAAAGTCGCACCGTTCTCACTCTGTCCTCGCAACAACGATCTATTTAATACCACTACGCTTTACTATCATTCACGCAAACCAGAGATGCGCCCATTCCCGATCCCAACCCCAATAGCTTCCAACTCGACATGGAGGATGCGCGAACGACAGTCTAAGAATTGACGAAAATGAAGATGGTCAACGGGTAGTGAGTCAGACGCGCATCTTCGACTATACTAAATCCTCCCGCTCTTCGCGTCTCTCTTACTCGTTGCGATCACTGACCTTTGCGAATGTTTCCGCAGTTCCGGTTTGTGTTCCGAAAAAAACCGTCACCTTCTTCTGGGGTCCTTCATCGGTCTCTTCCGGAACATCCACTGGCCTCATGGTAACAGGTTGGTAAGCTGGGGTCGAACTTTGAGAACTCTTGCGCCATAGAAGAAACGCGAGGCCGAGAACCAAAACTCCTCCTATACCTCCAATGAGAAGATAGACCGGAGGAATATCGGCCAGAGCGGCCGACGATGAAACCATCGTTGTCACCTTAACACTCGCAACGGCCCGTATGTATTCGAAGTCAGAGGTGTCTAGTACACCCCTGTCCACGCTGTGCAGAGCGTCGACGGAATTGGAAGCCCCAGAGATGTCGCCCTGCATGCCCGACCGACTACGCCAGTAGCTGAACCTGCGTCAGGAGGACCAGCTTCTCATGCGTTCTCAGCAAGCATGAGATCTCTCGAAGCCAGACTCGCAACAGCCGGGCGGAATTTTTTCTAAAAGTCCTCGAGGGACGGAACGAGCGATCGGCTCCTCGGCATCAACCGACGATCTCCAATGTGCAGAGCCTGGGACCAGAGGCTCGTCGGAATTGAGGATGAAGCGAGCCGCACGCCCGCGCTCGAGACGATATTTACAAGAGCTCTAACCGAGGACCTCGGGGGGCACACGCCTCGCCACAAACCGCACAATTTCACGCAGCTCCTTGTTATTGCGACCAATCTACTGCCCGATCGGACGAGGTAGGCGCCCCGCTAAGCCTGCCGGTCTCCCCACTGATCGATCTGCTCGCCGGACGAACACCAGATGTATACCCTAGCTGCTCGCTCGCTCGCTGCTGCTGCTGCTGCTCCTCCTCCTCCTGCTCCTGCCCTCTTGCACAGCCACGAAATCACTGTGCTCGAATCGCTGAGAGAAGCGAGTGACCAGGAGGATGGACAACGCGCCCACAAGTAGAAGAATGGCACGCCCGACGTCGCCCTCGCTGCTACTTCTCCACCACGCTCACCGATTAGTCAAAAGTCGCACTCCCCTGCGCGGCCAAGGCAAGACCCGGACCGAGCCCCCACCACGGCCCCTGCTCCCTCCCTCGCCTCGCTCCTGCTGCTGCTCCTGCTGCTGCTGCTCTTCCTCCTGCAGCATCGAACGCGCTTTCCAAGGTCGTCCCTCCTCCTCCTCCTCCCACAGAATCACCCCCCGCCCGCCCGCCCGCTAGCCCGCTAGCCCGCCCCGCTCCATCGCCAGTCCATCGCCAAGTCCGCGGCAGATGCGTGCCAAGTCAAAACTCCCACGACTCCGCTCCATCGGGCTCTGGGATGGCCGAATCCGCTCCGTCTCTCCATTCGCCGGACCGTGGTTCTCCTACTACACTGTACCACGTCCTCCAAACCAGCCCGAGTCGTGGTACGCGGCAGCATCGTATGCCCTCCTTCGTATCACTCCGAAAAGTACGATGTACCGGTTCCAATACGCAATAATCGTCTGCTTCGACGACGACGGACGACGGACGACGGAGGGACGGAGTTCGTCCGTCCGTCCGCTGCGGCCGAGCGCTTTTTCTCCTGCACATCCGACAGAGAGGAGTAGTATACGGTGTACGGATCGAGGAGGTGGAGTGGGAGCAGTGGAATGTGAGACTGCCACATCGGCGTCGATCGGCCGCTCCCGTGGCCAGCCCGGTGGCCAGCCAAGCGGACCAAAAGCGGTCACCTCCACCACCCGCGCTCGAGCTCCGGGCTTGCCATAGCCAGGCGGCCACAACAACAGTGCAGGGCCGTGGAGCTCTCCGCTCGTCTGCGCCGGTGCCCGGTCAGACTCCACCGTCCACAGGCGCTCCTTCGCTTCGTGCTGGCGCTGGCCGGAAAAGCCAGTGCGGCCAATGGCTCCGCGGCCTTCGCACCGGCTTTTCCAGGTCGCCTGCCGAGGGATGTCATTTGTTCCAGTACATTCGGGGGCCGTGAACGGTCTGAGAGCCCTCGAAGGTTCGGAGGGATGCTTCGGTTCGGGATCCGTCCCGGGGGGAGGGACTGGCATCGGACGGTGGCGAGGACAATCTGCTCGCTGCAGCCGAAGACCTAATCATCGCCCATAGCCCCTCGACACGTGTCCAAAGGGAAAAGTCGCTCCCTCGGAATTAAATACGGCACATTCAGGTCAAACTGACGTTAGTCTCCTGTCAACGAATCTGCTCCATGCTTTGGACCTCCGCCATCGCTCGCAGCGGTGGCCGAGGGGAATCTGGTTGCCCGAGTTACTCCGCGTTGTGATTACCTTTTCTTGCGAGACTTAAGTTGCACCACGTCGATTTGAAAGCGTCCATCGGCCTCGTTTTCTCTATGGTGCTCGAGTTCGTCGACGCGAAACGCTTATAATCATATTCCTCTCGGATGCGAATCATATTTCCGCTGGTAGGTCAAAACCAGATCTTAATTATGGAGTTACGGAGTTGTGGAGTTTGGTGTTCATGGCACCTGCACTAAATTCCCCAATCTTCGTTGGCTGTCCTCACTTGCTCGTCATTTTTCTCCTTTTAAGTACACTCTTCGTCGAAAAATCCAGGTCTTTGTTCTTCTATTCCGTACATTTAATTGGATTAAAATTGAGAGATGTGATGTAGTTATTCGACCTGGCTGACTTATGCATGCGGATCACTTCTGCACACACCATTAGAATGGTATTGTTAAATTTTCGTTCTGTTTTTGGGCTCCTTCTTCGTCTTCTCATTCTTCTAATGTAGGTTTGAAGATGTATTTTCTCCAAATAGAAGAGAATCTTCTATTTGCCTTTTGATTCGGACCTCCGTACTGTTGTGATGAACGGGACAGTCCAATTACGATCAAAATATGTTCGGATCCGGCGGATTGTAATATGGCGGATTATAAGCGCCATTGATTGATTGTTGTCAATGAATCATCGCAAATTTGGTTTCTTCCTGTCATGTAATTTTCTTCGTATACAGCCTTCAGAATTTCAAAGAAACAAATATTGCACATACTGAGGGCAGTCAAAGTGGACACAAGAAAACATTTTCAAGGACGGGCGGTGGGCTGTGATGGCTTGAATCCTTAAGATTTAGACGTGAAAGTTTCAGTTGTTGCAGACTGAAGAAAAAAGACATGAAAGGTCCATGCAACATGCAACAAGATGCGACGAGTGCACCCTTTCATCCATCGTGCAGCCGTGAAGCTTGGACGCTGCGCTTAACTAATGCATCGGCCAGAAGGCAGCACGAGGTTGTTGAGAAAAGAAGGAGATTGTGGAGTGCAGTTTTGAACATCTCTTTCGAGGCGTGAATAATGCTGTCATATAAGGAACTCTTTACAAATAAAATGATTTAATAAACTGTTTACATGTTTAAATTGTGATATAATAAGGGGAAGCTCAAACTACTGAAAACTTATCCATGAACCATAATTGCTAAGAACTTTGACCACAAGAGAAGGAATCACATACATGTACAAAGCTAAAGACATCCCAAGTCTTCCAAACTCATGAACATAGTATAAGAAATGAAAAACTTTATTGACGAGAAAAGGAAGAAATCAACCGGCCTCGGACAATTATGAGTGAATAGATCATGTGCTATCAATATGGGTGGCAGTGCAACTTGGAGCGAAAAAGATCAAATGAAACTCTGAGAGTTACAGGAAGAGGTTGATGAACTTTGCAACAAAAGCATAAGTACATGGTCAACAAAGTCAGCGCATGATACTCTTCAACTGGAAATCCTTCATGTACACCGGTTGGTTGTGACAAAGAAACTTTAAAATTAACTGAAATGTCTGATGGTAACTCGAAACTCGATATCTTATTTACAAATCAAGAATCTTCAGAATCTTCCTTTAATAATAATGCTTCATCAATCATGGCCATTCTCTAAGTTTTTATAAGCTTTTACTCTCATGTTTTTTATAGAGATTATCCCTTGGTCTTTCTAAGTTAGCCTATCTAGAGCTATTAAGGGATTATGATCCCTCCTCTTCTAGCGAGAAATGATTACACCACGCGAAAATGGATACCACTCATTTCTACAATTTTTTTAAAATTATTTTGGCAGGATGAATCTGTTTCTCTTCAAAGATCAATAGCTGATGATTTCCATAAGAAATAATCGTGTCATGTGATCTGAAGGATGTAGACCCGTTCATCTCATTAGTTGTGATATGTCAATTGCAAAATGACACACTTCTCTGATGCTATTCGCCCCTAACCCTATGCTACCCTTCAGAATTCATCCATGTAGGACTAGAGGGGGTATTCACTTTGCTACCTTACTGGATGTCTATATTTGGTAAAGCTCATCCTTGGCAACCTCGATTCATGGTACCGTATAAAGTGGTGCATTAATAGCAGATGTCTCATCGCATAATCATTGGGAACGAGATCGAGCACAGTTCAGTGTTAATTTGCGAACGACGACACGCGTATGCAGTTTCTCACACTGCCTCTCCCACTGACCCCTGCCTGAAAGACCGGGGTCGGGACTTGGTCTTTCCACGGAAGAAAGACTCGAACGAATGACTTGCAGTGCATACAATGGAATGTAAACAGCAATTTGACTTGATACATCGTATGTTCGAGCAGTTTTCAACTCAAAATTCTGCCCATAAAGAATTTCATTGGCTACAGGAAACAGATTTCTGAAGAAATGTGTGATTGGAAGGACACTGTTCTTGGAACGATATGGTGTCTCTTGGTTAACAGCATTTGACACAACACTTTCACCCGTATTTAAGTACCATAAGAAACAGCCTCTGGTATTTGGGTTGTGGAAGCAATTACCTTGAACTGCTCGCTCAAAAGACAAACAGGAGACCCACCGTGACCTGTGGGTGAAGAAGGAGGAAACACAACGGCAGCGGAGACAACACCTTTTTAATTATTGGAATATAATGGCGACTACAGGCAACATGCTCTGTCCTAGTATAATATGTGATGAGCATTGCTCCAACAAACCCTCGTATATGTGGTTTTCTTGTTTATGCTGTTCTCTTGACATGATTTTCTTCTGCTCTCAGCATGCATCCTGTTGTCGTGAACTCGCTGTATCATCGCTGTAGTTCTCGGCAGGTGCTCTCCACCCAATACTTTCCGGACCTAAACCAATACAAACTACCTACCACGAGCTGAAAGCACCAACTACATGACTTGTATTCCATTCTTTCTCAACACTCATGGGATTGAAGAACGGAGGCTCTCGGCAAATAAGAAACATGCGAGTGAAGCCCGGATGGAAAAGCGACCTCTGCTGACTCCTTCCGAGTTCGTTGCATTAAATCCATGGAAACATGGCGAGATCTCTGGAGAGTCCTTGCGTACTTGGCTATGGAAAACTTTAGAATGTTCGATAGCCATGTACGCAAGGGAACTCTAAAGAATAATTTCACTTCACGCCTCTGGAGTTATGCGATAAAACGATCGCATGGATATTCCACCCATGACTAGACAAGAGGAGAGAATTGCGCCGGTGGATTGATTCTTTGCAAGCTTCTCTGCTCAATTGGAAATCTAGTCAAGCGACAACTGTTTTGTAGTCCTAGTTTGCAGCTGAATCAACCAAAATTAGCGGGAAGAACACGCTACCCTCAACCCTAGCTTACATTTGCACCCATGCAGAAAACTAAGCTTTCTGAACTACGGCCACATATACTGATCTTTGTCAACCCCAATATTCGCTAATATGCAAATCCAGGTCCACTCAACCCTTTCAAAAGTTTTGGTCTGCGCCTCGGACCTTGACATACAATGAAAAGAACCTATATTTACATTCGCCAATTATGGCCTTTACTGGTTAGGAGTACCAAACTATAAACATCTTCGTTCAAGACAAATGTATATATGACAAATTTCAATTAAAATTTCAAATTTCAAATTGATTTATTCTATTCAATCAATCAACATCATAGCACATCCAAACAAATCCTGGATCATTTAAATAACACGCTATAGCTTTTAAAAAACAATTTCAACTCATGAGCTTCAACCAAAAATTAAACAGAATATGATAAATATTGGCTAACACAGTCTAATTAGTCTAAATATGCAATCTTTAATAGAATTATTTACTAGTCCTCAAACATCGATAAACAGTTGATTTCCTTTCAATGAT